AAGAGGCCTATGTCGTCCTTGATGTGCAACCCCGACGATTGTACGGCGACTCCACGACGAGAGTATGCTGCAACGACGACTCCTGCTGCTGTCGCGCCGCCCAGAAGAGGCCGGGTAGAAGACGGAGGGAACGCGGCTCGGGAAATGCGCTCAGGATACTTTACGTCGCTGCCGCCGCTGCCTTTCTCGCGCTTGCCGTCTCACCAGGTATGAAAACGATATTAAATCTTGCCGATCGTTGCAACGAGCTTTATTGTAACATAAGTATATGGGGTATGCACGTTGAGTGAGAATGGAAACGTCTTAGGCTGCTTTAATTTGGCAGAGAAAAGTTTCGTAGCATCTGCGTAAGAAGGATTCTACAGTTCCGACAAACATACATTTCTTTCGTGAGAAAGAATTTGTTAGTATCACGAAAAATGTAAATCGGAAAGACCAGTAATTTTTATAAAAATCGATTAATCAGAAGAATATCAAAATAATTTTAATAGCGTATTGAAACTTCGTTATAATTTCATACTCTCGTTTTTACGTTCTTATTAAATATTTAATAAATTCTTTTCATATCTTTTCAAGATGGAATAATTCGCTTGATATTTTATGTTCGATTTCTAATAAATTCAAAACGCATGAATTTTTTCCAAAAATATTTATTTTTTATTTTATTCCTCTATTAGGCCAATATTCATAGTCGAGTCTTATTTCAAGACCGTCTTAAGTAATGTCTTAAGACATTAACGCAGCCTTCTGATTAGTTCGTGACTTCTTAAGACGGTCTTGAATATAAGATCTGACTATGAATACCGGCCTTAGACCTTTTTTTCTTTATAATTCATAGACAAAAGTTTTTCCTGGTATCCAAGATGAACATTTAATTCTAATTAAAAATAAATATCTTCTCTTTACTTTACGCTTGTTTCCGAGATTCTTCGCCTTGTATTTCTATTCTATGGACTTGACAATAGAATTCATTCTTTTCTTCTAGCATTATCTAACATTATCTAGCTGTGTGCTATGAAAGAAAGTTTTGTGAAGAAAAAATACAATCCTTCATAAATTTTCAGACCGAAACAAATATATTTTGTTGCTTCTATTGAAGAAAAACTTCAATAGAATAGAAAACAATTCAATTTAGAAATCGAGATCAAATAGTATATTTGTATTTGTCAAGATGCCCGCTAACTGTAATCTGACCATGTCCATTTACCATGTGGAGTAATTTTAAACTCGGTTTAATTTACTCTTTATCTTTTTCTTATTCTTAGAACTAGAGAAAGATAAAAAATAACCGAGGTTAAAATTAATCTGCATTAGTAAATTCATGGGCATAATTCATTCTTTGTCTAATAAATTCTTTGAAATATTTTAATCAATTCTTTCGCATGAAATCGCGAATTGTTCCGAGAACGTAACGAATTTTCGGGAAGTTACGTTGTTGTCAGCTGATTGGAGCGCGAGACGAACGGTGGATAAAATCCTAGCCCCGATTGATACATAAAAATAATAATAATAAATAATTTATTAATAAGAAATAATTTAAATAATTTTTTTATAAATGATTTATAAAAATAATATATCTTCATAAGTAACATATATTAAAGATACAATTAGGCAAAAAGAAAAAAAACCGAAGGAATTCAACGGAAACTGATGGACGAACGAAATAATAGATTTCTATAAACAAATGTATTATATTCGATATAATATTTAGCTTTTCTGTTAATAACTTACAACAAATATTATTCATGTTTTAACAGATTAAACGTATCGTCTGTTGGTTTTTCAAACATTTTTCAATGTAATAGTAATCTCTAAAGCTGATTTCCACCAACGTTCGATTCGCAAAACTAAATTGAATTGAATCGGGATTGAATGTTCGTATATCTCGCGTAATCGACGAACGATGAACGGCCGCGGATTTATCTATGATCGATCAGACCCACGATCGAAAAGTGACGTGTATCTCGATTTCCATGAAAATTCGCTCCGATAGATACGATCACCCCGGGCCATGTATCAACACCGCGCTTCACCCTGGTCTTAACAAAAGAACCCGCGAGAACCCCAGATCGGCTCGCTCGAAATGCGAAGGATAAACAGAGCAACCTTTTATCGAAGAAATAAGACAAATATTCGTAGCATACCGTGCATCTGCATCGTGTCCATTTGCGAGTATGCAGGCACGTGTATTATTAAAACACCGATGGAGCGAAATTCCCGAAATTTCCGTTTGTTTCTTCCTCAGAAAATCCTATTCTTGTTGCATCCGTATCGAAACAAGCTGCTGCGATATCGAAATGCGGCTGTTGATCGAAAGATCGGAATATCCCTTGGTATTTTGCTAAAATAAATTATATTATCGCAAACGAATTACGGTGGAAATAATAAAAATTGACCCATTTTGAATAATTATTGTTTAGTAAAATATCTGATAGATTATAGAAATGATTACCCTTAGATCGTTCTGGTCCTGAGACGGGTAAATGAACGACAATCGCATGACGCATTGCGTCAGAATTCAATTGTGTCGGTGGCGTGATTCGAGCATCTCGATTTCCGCTTCCATTTGGCAGAGAGGCGAGAAGTTGAATGATCTTTAGAATGTTCAGGATGAAATTAATCCTTAAATGATTAACTTGTTAAATTTTGATAATAATTACTCTTCAATGACGGAATTATACCAATAAATTATGTTAATATAATTTCTACTTAATAAGTTGAAAGTTAAATTATATTTTTTATTACTTTATTTCTTAATTAACTGAATAATCATAGATAAAATATTATAATAGTATGAAAAATTGCGTATTTCTTAAATATTATGTAAAAAATATTGACGTAAATGTAATACATTATATAAGAGTATATAATATCTTATATAAGAGTGTACAGTTATTTAATTAAAATTTAAATATTCCTCAGAAAGTGAATCTATATTAAAAAGACAATAGGAGAGATATGTATTACAAGAGATATCTCTTGTATTTTCCAACAAAGATTGAGATAAATCGTCATTGTATTCGACTGTTAAATCGTCATTTCGTGGTCATTAAATATGTGTGACGATAGCTGCTTCGCGCACAATACACGCCATATTTATTGGCTATAAATTATAGTTAGTCCGTAATTTGCCACCCGTGAGCTAATGACATGACGTCGTATAAATCACGAGACACGCTTGGCAAGTAGCACTTCGGCGATGTGCCGAAATGATTTGCGCTCTATAATGATTCATAATTGGCAATTCAAAAGTTATAGATATATAAAGCGGATTAATTCCGAAAGAGATTACACACATTAACAAGCCATTCCGATTTAACTGGTACACAATTTATTTATTCTTTTTTATGTTTCCACTTATCATTATTCATATATGTGTGAAATTAGATATATAAATTCTTCCTTTCTATTAAACATAAAAAGACTTCATTTTTTTCAATAATTTAGGCGATACGAATCAGTACTCTAATGTTATTTCTTACATCCATCCTTCGAAAATAATTTATTTTGATCATAATTAACAGCTGCGCTCGTTTTGCCAAACAGCTTTTTAATTGACAGGGATGTTTTCCCAAATATGGAATTGAAGAGACTCCTCCTCAACTACTCCTTTAAACCTACTCGGCACTATTAATTTCTTAACTTTTTAATTGACATCGCTGAAGTGGCTCGAACGGAGCCGAAACATTCGATTCTTTCGATCTGTATGTAATGGTATGTAATTTAAACAATACATTTATTAATTATTTCACACGATCAACTGCGTTAGTTTATTGCTCTCATTTGCCTGCCAATCAATGCACTTTTATATTTTTTTAAAAAGACTTCGTAAACGAAATCAATGGTTAATAAAGTTTACTTTAATTTATCTTATTTTATTATCCATCTCTATTTGTCAAGTAAAAAGGCAAAAGAGATGCGACAAAAAATGAGAAAATTATCCAATTAAAAAAAAAAAATCTATTTTCCCGTATCAAAACCACCGAGATAGCTCGTTAGAGACGAAGCCGTCACAACCTCACAAATCATAATCAGGTAAAATTTTTTGACAATCGCGCGCATATTACTCATGCAGGACCACATGTACCCCCACAGTTCGATCGTTAATTATGTTCCCTTCCTTCCCCCTTCGCATTCGCCGCCCCTATTCGTTGCAGGCTTTTCTATTTATCCGACAACGCATAAATATCCTCGCGAGACGACAATCAAAGGGGACTGCGAAGTAATCTCGTAAGGGCGACGCGCATTACTTCTACCTGATGCGCCATTAAAACGTCGTCGATGCACTTAAAACGTGAATAAGAACTCTCCTCGTCTATGTAGCATCGGCGTGTTCCTTCCTCCCTCCCTCTTCCGCTCTCCTTCATTTTTCTCTCTCGATCTTTCTTCCATTCTCGTGCCGTCTCCCTCACGGATTCGTGTGGTTCGTTCGCTCAATCCGCTTGAAACGTGGCGTGTGGCCCGTAGACATCGTCGAGCCGCACCCACGCACGCTATTTATCTCGTCTGCCGAAGCCGAGTGCCAAGAGAGTATTTTTTCGCATGCCGCCTCTCGGATCTCTCTTTCTTTCCCTCTCTTTTTATCTTTCGTTCTGTTAACGCGACCAGAGTCCCCTGGACCCCCTAGTCGCCTTCCTACGCCACACTCTATCGCTCTTGCTCTTTTCCACTTTCAATGTCCGCCTCGCCGCCGTGTTACGAGGAAGCACGGATGACGAGCCACGCGACGAAATCGTATCGATGAGAGGATGGTGGTACCACTTCTTAAATTTAGATGCTTTTTAAGAGCTATTTGACTTTATCAATTAGCTTGTTAGCTGAGTTGGGATTATACAATTGAGAGAGAGAGAGGGAATATGTGTATGTATGTGTAAATAAAAAGTGAACATGAATCTTCTGTTTTGTAATTTTTTAAATCTCTCTCTCTCTCTCTCTCTCTCTCTCTCTCTCTGATCCGTGCTTTAATTGAAACTTAAGACTCGGATCGAGGGCCAGTAATCCCTCGTTTTCGTTGTCACTCACCCTAAAAATATCATAGGATTACAAATCGCGTAACCAGAAATTATTATACGGTACCAGAGACAACCGTTTCCTCGTATATTTTTTCGTAAATTTATTCACCAGGAAAAATCTCTAAAATAACGCGAACCGTACACGCGTACAGAAAAGAGATGCAAAAGTGATGCAATTAATAATTTCGCATAGTC